AATAGGGCGTGAAATAGACCCTAGAGGAGCCTCTCTCTCATATATATATATATGCATACGCACACACACACACATATATATATATATACATACACATATACATATACATAAACATAAACATAAACATAAACATAAACATAAACATATACATATACATATATATATATATGTATGTATAGGTATATGTATATGTATATGTATATGTATATGTATATGTATAGGTATAGGTATAGGTATAGGTGTATGTATGTGCATATATATTTAAGTATGCATATGCATTGCATATGTACATGTATATGTATATGTACGTGTATGTGTAGAAGATGTGTATGTCTGTATGTCTGTATGTCTGTATGCATGTGTGCATGTGTGTATGTATGTATGTATGTAATGTATGTATGTATGTACCCAAGATGATTTCCTTGAATTGTAAGTTTAAGAAACCCCCACCTGCCCTCCAGTGGTGCTGAAGGAGATGGATTGAGCCATCTTCCCCTCCACGGGTTCCAGGCTCCGGAAAGACTCTTTGGCCTCGTAGGGTGTGAGGTTTCGGAGCTTCAGGGTGGGTGGAGGGTGCAGGGCTCTTTTAGGGCTTTTAGGGTTGAGGGTTCAGGGTTTAGACTCTTTGGCCTCAGACATGCCATGGAAGTCGAAGAACTTGAACATGCCGTCCATGCTTCCTGCTATCATCCGAGAGCCCTTTGGATCCAGGCCCACAGCCGTCACTGCCTTGTCATGGCATGGAATGTTCACCTCATGGCTGACAGGCAGAAGTTCATTCTCCTTTCCGGGCTCGGGGAGCTCATCGGGCTCTTCAACCGGTGCCGGGGCACGCTGCTTTGAGGTGACGAGGGGCCCCGTTGGAATGTCCTCCTCTTTGTCTTCAGCCTCCTCCGCCTCCGCCGCCTCCAAAGCTGCCTTATGCAGGCGGGCGGTGGCGCCGGCAACGGAGGCTGCATCCTTCGCCCGGTGACCAAACTGAACGCCGCCAGGCTTTGCGGCTTTCTCCTGCCCTCGAGCTCCTTTCTGCGCTCGCTGTGTTGCGTTGTGTGCTTCCGGGCCAACAGTCTTTACGGGCTTCTGCTTTCCAAAGGACAGAGGCATGTTGAAGCCCTTCAGCTCTTGCATCTCCATAGGCATCTCGGTGTCGGAGCCATCGCCTCCCATCTGGGAAGGGAAACTGCTCGTCTCCGCCATGTTTGTCGACGTCTCCTCGGGTTTTGGGGCCTTCCGTGTGGGACCGGAGTAGCGATTCGACGCCCGCATGGCTTTCATCTCCTCTTCGTCGGAGTCCATGGTGCAGACACGGGCCTGCGCGCAGCTGCCCGTGGTGCAGCTGCGACGACTTTGCTTCGCTAGCAGGCCTACACCAATGATTGCAATTTGTAACATGCAGTGAAGGGCAAGGCTTGTAACTAACAGGATCGACGAGCTCTACAAGCAAGCGGTGTCCTTGTGTGGCATGTGCCGCGAGATTTGCTTGCTAAGCGGTGTGTCAACCGTTCTAAAGAAACATCAGGTGGCAAAGACGGCTCCGGCCAGATTGGGATGAAGTCTACTGATCTCTTTGAGGTGGCCTTCTAATCTAAGGAGATCTAAACGCCCGAGCCAAACAGGCGGCACTGGCAGGTCCTCTGCAAGCATTGCGAACTGCAGCCTCAGACATTGTTAATCTCATCCTGGTCCTTTCACTAGCCACTAGCATGTGGGAAATCGACCGTCCTTCGCTGCTCGCGCACGCTCCGCTTGGTTCGGCGCCGTGGCCATCTCCTCCGCCAGACCTGCCGCAAGGAAGAAAGTACAAGGACCCGTGCCAAAAACTGATGTCAGGAAGGCAGCCTCCCTTTCCGTCTTCGAGCCATGGAATCTGGAAGGACACATGGTGTCCAACAGCAGGTCCCAAACTCACACAATCATGGCTCTCAATCAGGATGTAGGACTTCGGGCTTAGGACTTAGGGGTTTCGCATTTCAGACCTCGAGCCACGCCAGGTCGGAAAGGTCCCAGTTTGCAGCGGTGGATGTATTCCTTGCGCAGATCTTTGCGTCTACGGCTGCTTGCACCTCGAAGTGACAACTACTAATATGCGGTCTGCTGCAGAAATGAGGCCCATTAGGATGAGATTTGCCAGAGATGCCTTCGCTGAAGGTACGAATTCGCTGTGCTTTCAGCTGAACTTGGCAGAACCCCAGCTGCTTTTGCTACTACTGCTTCTCGCTGTCCTCATCCGCTCCTACTCCTTCTCTTACATACTCCTACTCCCTGAAACTCCTGCACTGGCACCTGCACCTACTGCTTCCAATCCTCCTCCTTCGACGAAGACTTCTAGTATCCAACTAGTATCTACTATCCATAATTATATTCCATTATCTACTATCCACTACTACTACTAATACTACTACTACTACTACCACCAGCACGACTACTACTACTACTACTACTACTACTACTACCACTACTACCACTACTACCACGACTACTACGACGACTAGTACTAGTACTAGTACTAGTACTAGTACTAGTACTAGTACTACTACGACTACGACTACGACTACGACTACGACGACTACGACTACGACGACGACTACGACTACGACTACGACTACGACGACTGCGACGACTACGACTACGACTACGACTACGACTACGGCTACGGCTACGGCTACGGCTACGACTACGACTACTGCTACTCTACTACTACTACGACTACTACTACTACTACTACTAGTACTACTACTACTACTAACTACTACTACTACTACTACTACTGCTACTACTGCGACTACTACTACTACTACTACTACTACTACCACTGCTACTACCACTATTGCGACTACTACTACTACTACTACTACTATTGTGTAGGAAAAGACAATATAAGTAGTGTCTATGCGTAGTATGAAATGT